CGTAATCGATCCCGGTGCTGATAACGCGAGCGTAGCTGCGTTAATTACCGAGAATTTCATGTCGACGCCAGTGGATGTTAACTCGCGATAATGCCCTCTCTCGGCTTACAGCTCTCAAGCGATTGATATAACATAATGTGCTACGACGAATAGAAAAACCAGGTTATCTTCGTTATATTACATGCTATGTTCGTTCCTCGAGCGGTCGCATCTCGAGGAAAACTCGCAGGCAACATCGCTACGGTTTCTCCGGCCAAGGTAATAGTTGCACTGAGGTGTGACGGACTTTAGTCGAAACTTTTTCTAGATGGAAATATGGGGTTCGCGAATCTATCTATTGTCTGTTCTAATAGAGCAATTATGCGGCGATGGCCGCATCATTCTAATCTAATCGAAATTCCTTGATGCTAGTTCTATATGTTGCGAGAGAGTACCAGGCAACGAGTTTATAATCAAACTGGTCGAGCGTTGTATATACTTCCCATCGGTCAGGTTCCTGGTGCCCCTTTTCTCTTGTGGACAAGGCTCATCAGAGAGCACTCGAGATCGGAGCACAGGTGGAAAGCTTGTAAACGTTACGGTCAAGACTCTGACGAGTCATTCGCTGCCTAGTAGAGCTAATGAGTCTCTGGCAATGAATAGACGAAGGCTCAGAGCAACAGGGGTTGCTGTCAGACTTGCAGCCCTGAAAGCTCGTCCTTTCAACGTCACATCCACAGAAGATGAGGAGTGTCGATTCTATGGAGTATTCATTAAAGATGATAAGATGCAGAACCCTGTCTTGATCGACTTCTCGAGTTTGTGAACTTAGATAAAATAAAAATAAATAGTTCGTTTAACGTGATTGTTTTTCACACAACATAGACTTTATCACTTAACTCTTTAGAGGCTTCTCAATAATTACTTTATTTTATCACTTTAATTAACAAAAAATGTGTTAAAAAATATTTTAAAATTAGAATTTTGATTAATACAAAATTACATTATTTTTGTAGAATATAATATTTTTTTATACAAAAATCTTGTAGAATAGCGTGACGTTTTATAATCTTTGGGTTATCTTCTCCTACTACCACAGACCGTCATGTAAAGTAATCTACTTCCCTTCCCCTTGTGATGTGACATAATTATTGAATGGCCGCTTAATAAATCAACGAAATGTTATGAAATACTTTTGATTCACGTTTTTTACTGTCTTTAGTGGACTCACCTATTCTTCTTTCTATCAATAATATACTATTATGTACTCATAAAAATTACAGAGTAACGTTTACCTTGCGGACATACAATTCGTGGAATATAAAACTGCACGAAAATGGTGCGTCCTTATTACCTGAACACTATATTTAGGGAACATAAGTATTATGAAATCTCTTTCACCTACCATAAGCACGGCAGAATAGCTAGACCGAATCATTCCTTTCTTTCTGTTGTCGTGTTGAAAGGAAATTATCGCGCAGTTAAAAGTTTTGTAGCATGACTAAAATTATCTTTAAAACATATAAATTACACTACATATCTGCATATTATTGATGTTGCCGCGAACTGTTATTCAATGTTTGTTCTGTCTGATACGTGTCATTCGTAGAAGAAACGAATCGCGAGAGGATCACGATAATATTGTCGTAATGAACATTAATTTTTTCCTTAATGTAAAATCATTCATACTCCAAAACATAATTTCTGTTATCAAGTCCTGATCTCTGCAAGATAACGGCAATACTCGCTTATACAATAATCAAGCATTGACAGAGAATCGATTCTTATAATTTTATGCTGATTCTCGTCGTCGTACTCAATTGAACGCGTTGCGGTACATTCTGTGCGCAAAATGACGTCGCTCGGTGAAAGTTCATCGTGTATAACAGACGATCGGAGAAAGGAAGCAAAGAAAAGAAGATGATGATGACAAAGGTCGGGTGCCGCGTGTGCGACACGGTCCAACCGCAGCGGAAATGTCCGACGCGCGGAAGAGGAAACTGCGCCTCCGCAGCACAATAGCGCGCGGTTCTGACAAAAGAACATGTCGGCGGGCCAGAACGAAAGACATCGAAAGGTGCGCACGTACCTAGGCCTCGATCTCTTCCCTTCTCCATATCGACGGACTCGCCCTCGTCCTCCCCGGAATCCTTACCCGTCCCCGGCCCCTCCCATCGCTCTCTATTCTTCCTCGCTCGTTCCCGTCGTGTACACGCGCCGCCGCGCACACGCGCGCACAACAGCACGTGGTTGGCCGGGTTCACCTGCGCGCGTAAAAGGAGGGAACCAACGCCAGGCGTCCCGGCGGCGCGGTACGGCATAGCCACGGCACCTGCATCGTGCCGTTGTCTATTTCGTCGAGTCGCACGAGTTGGTGGCCGACACAACGGCGGGTGATGGAGGAAGGGGATTACTGACATCGTTGGTAGTGGGGCAGAGATGGTATGTAAGAGAGAAAGAAAGAAAGAGAGAGGAAGGGAGGAAGGGATGAGGTCACGATACGAGGAGGGGGGCATTTCCTTATTTTAAAAACGATTCAGGAGTCCCCTAATAGGCGGAGCCACGACGACTAGATGCGCCGCCATTGGTTGCTGTAATGTCTAATATATCATGACATAACCGGAGAACTGTTGTCCGCGATTCCGCGGTCGAATAGAGGTGACGCGGTACCATTTACTTTGCCAGGGATCCCCCAGTTCTCCCTTTCCCTCCCCCCTACGATTTCCCCCTCACGTTCCTTTGCGCTGCCTCTCCCACGCTGTGTACGGGTAAAGCGTTATTGAGGATCAATATTGCCGCACCACGAGGTCTGACGAGGCCTCGCGCAGGCGTAGCGGGGTGTTTTCACCAGGGTGAACGCATGCCCTTCTTCGTGGGACCACGTGATAACTCACGTCGGAGCGCGTGTTCCGCGCAATTAATAGAATGCTGTTATTGCTGGTAAACGCACTTTAACGAGGTCGAAGCAGCTCGGGTGTAGAACTATTGGGTCGTCGGAAAAGTCATGACGTATTTTTTCTATGTTTTTCAAAGGTTATTTATTTATATAAAGAACAAAGATCAATTAATGATATATTGCCCGTTTTGTTCGATAACCTTCTGCTATCTTTCAGTGAGCTTCATAATTCTTCGTTCATAGAAGGACCTGTCTTTGTCGGCGAAAAATTGAACAAGGTGCTGATTTACAGCCTCATCCGAATTGAACGTTATACCACGCAAAGAGTTTTGAAGAGAGCGAAACAAGTGCAAGTCTGACGGCGCAAGGTTAAGCGAGTATGGTGGGTGTGGCAACACATCCCATCCAAGCCCCAATAATTTTTGACGGGTGATCAAACTTGTGTGTGGTCTCGCGTTGTCGTGATGGAACACAATTAGGTAATATCGTAAATCCTTTACGATTAACGAGCTCTGGACATTTCTGGATGTTGGATTCGTTCAAGCTGTCCAATTGCCGACAGTACACATTCGAATTGATTGTTTGGTTCCTTGGTAGGAGCTCAAAAAACACGACACCTTTAAAATCCCACCACACTGAGAGCACAACCTTCCTCTGATGAATGTTTGCTTTCGATGTCGTTTGAGGCAAATCATCACGTCGGGACCGTTTGCGCATCACATTGTTGTAAATAATTCACTTCTCATCATCAGTTATCAGTCGCTTCAAAAAAGGATCGTTTTCTTCACGTTTAATGAGCATATCGCAGATGTTTATACGCGCCGTCAAATGAACTTCTTTGAGGAACCCAAATATCGAGCTTGCTTACGTATCCCAGCTTCTTCAGGTGGTCGTGAGCACTTGAATGATGGATGTTCAATGTTTCTGCAATCTCTCGTGTCGTGTAACGTGGGATTTGACTCGATCAATGCCTTTATTTTGTCGTCATCAACCTCGATAGGCCTCCCTGACCGAGGAGCGTCTTGAGGTCAAAATTACCAGCATGGAATTTTGTGAACCATTGGCACTGACGTTCTTGTACAGCATTGTCACCGTAAACTTTACGCAACTTTTCACAAGCTTGACGCGCGTTCTTCCCTTTACAGAAATAAAACAGTAATATATGATGAAAATGCACAGTTTGGTCTTCCATCTTCAACTTGTTATAAAATCTCCAAAACTCAACCAAATCGCTCAATTTTTTTTTAGAATGAAGCTAGAACTGTCAGCTGTCAAATGACACAGCAATGACATAGATGCGAATGACTAGTACTTCCAAAAATGAACTAGCGCCATCTGTTGCAAAAATGCGTCATGACTTTTTTAACAACCCAATACAATGGGAACGCGTCGGAGGAGTCTGATACTCCGCAAAATCCGACATGTGCTTTTTGTTTTTGTGTATGCACGCTCTGTGGAAGTGCGTGACTTGTGAGGGCTGTTAAGCCTGACCTATAATATGCTCTTTGCGTTCTGTTTCTTGTCTTCTGTCTTTTTCTGGCTTAAAGCTTAAGATTTGAATCAGAAAGAGATAAAGAGAAAGAAACAGGAAACAAAGAGCATATTGTAGATCAGATTTTAGTCTTGAACCGAGCGTCAAAACAGCGTTGACACGACGCACAACGCTCCTAATTTGCCCGCTGTCCTAATTTGCCCGCTTTACGGCTGAGGTACCACGCGATAGATCTGAACAGCAGCGCGTTCCTCGCTGGTGTAAATGTCAGCGACAAGTTCGCGGGGAAACTGTTTCTTAGAAAGACCTTTCTAATTGAGAGCCAGCGAACTGATTACGTAGGAGAGATCTCGCTGTAGTTCTCCGACAACGCGAGTAGAAAGCAGTATAACCTGAATCCCGTGACGATAGACGAAGATAGACGTAACTGCGAGTGGCTGAAGAGTCGGAGTGTGTGTCGCAAGCAGTGTGTTACGAATGATAGACATCATTGATTGTTTACACGCGTTGAAATCACTTGATGCGACGCGATATCGAGCAGTTTTCGATAGGCAATTATGTTTTATCATTGACCAGTTTGACGCGCGTTTATATCACACTCGTTTCTCACGTTGGGTGTTTTCTTAATTTCAGATGACAACCTCGAGATCTTACTTGAGTACATTAAGAGGGAGATGTACCACTTCCGCTTTGTCTGGCCGTTGGTGTCCTTAGTGACCACTATTGTCAAGTATAGCCAGGAATACGCTTCAGAAGCGGATATTGCAGAGGCCTTCAGCCGCATATCTCGAGGTAAGACACGTTTTTGCATTTTGTCAATTCTGTCGGAGTAACAGACCTGTCGTGCGAATGGAAATGTGCAGCACGATGGAAACTATCGGAAAGACATAAGGAAAGAACATAAAGTCTTTCTTCAATTTAAATTTTTGATAAATACAAGGTCTTAAATGATAGCAACCTTTGACTTTGAGAGACTGACAGCTGTATCACTTGGTACAGTAACATTGTTTCTCTCTGTAATCGCCGTGCGCTCGGGATAGCGCCAGAGATGTCGCTTCCGAACGGCAACTCTGAACGTTATCTGGAAAAGGGAGAGTATCGTGAGCGTGAAGCGTTAGGTGAAGCTCAGTGGTTTAGAGCAGTCGCCCGGCAAGCGAAAGATCTAAGTTCTTGCAAACCGCGCTTTCGATATTTTTCTCTCTCCGGAACGAAAAAAAGAGGCAAGTCCCGACTGCACGGCGTTTCGCCGCCACCTGTACGCTCTCCTCTTTCTATGCTATGTATTTTTTATAAATACAAGGAGTGCTTTTATTCGTCTGATAACTTGATGATAGCTCACACGTATAAATTGTGATGTGCAGATGTTAATCTATAAATTTTTCTTTTTCATAGTTTACATAATTCGTCACGCGAAAATTATTCGTCGGATCATCGTGAGCAAAGTAATTTTGTCGTTTCTCGTAAATTTATTTCCACCTTGAACTTTGCACTTATAATTGCTAAATTTTTTGGAACTTAGCATCGATCTACTATTTGTTTTTCAAGGTCTTAATCGAACAAGCTGTGCTGTAATATTCAGTAATCAGGTTCGATATGAGTCGATATAATTTTTAAAAACTTTTGATTGCGTCTGTGCGGAAAATCACGAAAACTATGACGCATGCTTGTGCATTTGAAAACTGACACAAACGTACTTAGAAGCAGCGCAGCAACAACTCGAAGATATTTCTTATATTTGCGGATTTTAGAATAATTAATGGTATTGGAGTTGGTAAATGTTAAAGAAGCTTGCATTTATTCTTGAAAAAATTTGTCTACAAAAAATCGCGCGCTATTATAAAATATTTAACACAAAAATTTTATTTGTAAGCTTTAGTATACAATTACATACGATTTGCCACATTGGGAATTCGTGGAAAAGAAATCAACCATTTCCATTATCTCTTAACGATAAATCAATCATACATATTGTCTGTTTTGAATCGTTATAGTAAAAATATTTGATAGAAGAAGCTTTGCGACAAATTAAATTTATCTGTCGAGTCTAATGACTAACTTTGACTATGAATCGTATGTGTTTATTTTTCCCTCTATCTCTCAAAAGAGTCTCGCTAAACAGATACCAACTTCAATACGAGTAAAATTCTGTTTCCGCGTGTACTACTCAACACATTCACGGGAGGATCTACACCCTATACTTACCTACGATCATATTTTGACGTAGATAAATATTGTCTCAATAAACTTACGACAAGATTATTAAATATTCTTACCACGCAACTCGCGAAGACAACCTTGGAAGAGGAAACACACTGGTAAGGAAAGATTTTCACTCTCCTCTCAAAAGAAAAGCCTTATCTGTCTTCTGTCGGAAGATGTCTCGCCGTGTCTTGAAGATCACGTAAACACTCGAGAAAGAGAAAGAGAACCTGTTTGGTGTCACTACGGCGATGTTTAAACTACGTCCCGACAGCTTGTACAAGATCTGCGCATATGCCTCATATTCATAATTTCGCTGCGTTCGTGCGAAGTGATACGTCTTAAAGAAAGTTTCTCGTTCGCTTTCGTACGCGCGATTGCGAAATGTGAAAGGATAACTCGCGGCTGTCGATGATTATGTTCCACGCCCGAAGATCACTTTCGTCAAATGATATTATTTGCAGACGAAGATTTTATGCAACTCGATTAAAACAATGGAGAATAATAATATCGAATTAGCATAAGTGAAAGGAAATAAAAATTTCCGCGCACTACTTCACTCTAAACTACATTGTAAACTATATTTTGAAGTGGTATACAAAGGTCAAGGACGCAACGACCGTTTTGCAGTAAAGTATCTCGCTTAGGAATCACATCAACAAAAGGGAATATTCGGCTCGAGCGATTTTTACGGTTGCCACTAGTCTCGCGTAACATCTTAAATTAGAGCGATTCTTCTCGATGACGTACAAAGTAATGCATTACCATTGCCGCCATCGCTTAAAATACGTCGTAATAAATACGCGTTGTCGTCGCGCCAAGCGGGAATCGTTACCGGATATTTCTGCAATTATAATGTAGCCATCATTACACACGCCGACGAGTGCTAAATTTTGCTCGGTTGGAGAACAGCCAGCCGTAACTCGAAAATCATATCTTCCGCCGTCCTCTTCGTCGCAGTTTTCGACTCGCTCTCAAGGTCAACATTCGGGTTAATCCGCATGTCCTGAAGGGATACGACACGCGGATCCGAGCAATACGCGCACACAGACATGCAAGTGGACATTTAAAGGACGTCTTTCGAGCGAGACGACAACCACGACGTTCGTTAATCCGCTTTAATATCCCGGCGTGAATTTTTCTGGGACCCGCGAGAAAAAGCAAGCTCTGAGATTAATCGATGAATGAAGTATATGCACCGCGCAGATATCCGGTTGTCGTTTCCCAGGTAAGCAGGTGAGAAGCGGTTTAAGGCATCGCGAAAGGGTACGACGTTTTTATTCACTGTAACCGTGGAATTGACTCTCGGACAAAACCTCCCCTCCGTCATTGTGAATCGCTTCGGTTTCGGATCACTGATCATTCGCCCAGAACCGTTGCGAAGTATTTTATTCGTTTATTTGACGATCGATTTATACTTGACGATTATTCCCGACGATCTGCGGCGTTGCTGAATTCACAACGTCGTCGTTTTACGACGATATGGCCACGAAGTCACATATTTAATAAGCCTCACGACGCAGCCTCGTATAAATATCACTTCGTACGATGTATTTCCGCGTGTGAGGCTGGAACCGCTAGTTTTATTGATTATGTTCGCAACACTCACATCCTTTCTAGCTAAATAGGCTTGCGTTCAAAGCCCGATGATTATATTTCGAAACGCTTTAAGTGAATCAGAGAAATTTTGCCTCTACATTGACGCTGCAGCTTTCATCGAATTTGAAGTACTAATGAAAAATCTCTCGAGGTACACAATATCATCTATTCTATTATTCATTAATACTATAAATAGTTATTTATTGCTATTTTGTGGAATTGTAGAGAAGAAAGATTTATTCAATATTCGATTATTTTTTTCAGTATATTATATATATATATATTTAACTTTATTTTTAGTTTTAACAAGCAACATATTAATTGTATAATTTACTCAACCGCACTTTTAAGCCAAATCTTATCGGAATCATTAACATTAACAAAAACTAAAGATATCATGAGAGAATAAATTTTATTTTATTTACTCATTTGACCATTAATTTTTATTACATGTTAAATATCAAATAAGGATAAGTAAATCGATAAAAATCTATTCTTTCATAATATCTTTAGCGATATTATTGCTGTTAGCAATAACTCTTTTATAATTTCTGTGTAATCTTCAAACGTTACATATCTTAAGAGATTTTCATCGCCAGCATATCTCAAACGAGTTGCAGGACCGTGGACGCCGCGATAAAAGTATTAAACCTCGAATGAAGAACATGTCAAAATAAACATTTGTTCAAAATGAGATGAAAAAAAGAAACATTCCGTTATATATACACATGCTCTTGAAACTCAATTACCCAAAAATCATAAGTTTTTGAATCTCCTATCGCAAAACTTGCACATCACCGTTATAATAATAGGATACTTCGTAGGACTCGTGATCGGAGATCGGCGGGATAATTCCGGAACACTTCCACGTTACGAGCATATGTCAAGTGGAAGATAACGTATCGATAGATTGCCTCGATAAAGCGGCGCATGATTGTGCTTTATGCGACGTAATGACGGGGAGGAACGCGCTCCCAGGGTCGAGAAATGCTCTCCAGGATTAAGTTCGCAGAGGAGGGACGGCTAAGTAAGCGTCTAAGGAAAACGGAGAAAGTATAATTTGTTAACCAGTTTAGCTACTGTGTGCCAATACCCAATCATTATAAATCACTTAAGCCGCAATATAGGTGCTTCATCGAAACGTCAAAGAGTCTAGCGCCCCGGGACGCTAGCGATCGTACACAACGTAGGTTTCTTACTTAGATCTTAGTGAGCGGAAAATTGTCAGGACAAACGAGCGCGCAATTATTTATTACTCTGATGTCTAAACCCGATTAAGATTTCTGCTCGCTACTTCATTATCGCTGTTATTGCCAGTTACAATATACAGCGACACTTGTCTACTTGTAAGTTTAACCTATCCGGCGTTGCTCGGGTCACAATAAAATGTCGAAGAAATTAGGGGGAGGGATTGAGATGTCTATGTTTCATGGTAGTTTAGATTTTCCGCAGGCTCCTAGAGAGTAACTATACAAAATTTGATTCAGATCAGTCAAAGAGTTTAGGAGTTAATAAGAAACACACAGATATTTTATTTTATATACTGAGAAAAAAGCAGTTGAAATCAATAAAATTGGCGATCACTCGTCTTCAAAGAAATGTTATATCTATTGAACAATTACACGTTAATACAATAATAAATCACATTGATATAATTACTAACCAAATTGCAATAATTGAATTAATCGATGATTTCTCTCTCTCTCTCTCTCTCTCTCTCTCTCTCTCTCTCTCTCTCTCTCTCTCTCACGTCGTAGCAACAATATATTTCGTTCAATTGACTAAACGTTTGCGTGAACGAATTTTGTTCACTCAGACAAAGTCTCATTAACTCAAGCACTTTTTTCTCAGTGTATATATAGATTACAATACACAGCGATATCTATTCCAATGATCGACGTTCCTCTCTTTCTTATTATTTTCGCCATTATCGTCGTTGTTATGATTAATCACTACCTTTATCGTCGCTAGTATCACTATCGTGCTTGCAATCCGACAGCTTATAATCCGAACACCGAGCAACGTAGTTTTCAAGGAAACGGAAATTAAAGTAATGCCACATTTGAAAACTTTACCAGCAAAATATCGAATCGTCGTTCTCTTCCTTCCTCTTTTGTTTTCCACTGAAATTATTAATTACCCGAGTCAAGTATCAAACATTTCGTTGGCGTTATATTGTTATTCACGGCGCCAGTCGTTATCGTTCGGGAATAAATAGACTCGTGAAGGGGAGTAGTCGCGATCTCGTTCGGCCGGTCGGATAGCTGCGTTTTAAGTCGACGCGCGGAAAGCGACATTCCAACGACGGTCTCGCGTATGAGCAGGTGAACGATTAACTGCTGCGCCTTGTGCGTCGCGCCAAGTACATCGTTACGCTATTATTAACGTTACGTCGTGACGTATAAAATGCGCAAACTCACGCGAGTATCGAAAGCTGACGAGAGACCGATGTCAAAAATAATGACACGTTGAAGCATTAATATAGAATAAAAAAAAGAGAGAAGATACTAGGGGATCGTTAGTTGAAGAGCAACAGGCCTTCAGCGGCCGTTATCTTGGGGGACATGTTCCGATCGCATAATTTCCCGTGTCCTTACGGACTGGACAGAAAAGTGCTCTTGACGGACGAGGGGTCTCTTAATTGATTACGATGGCACTTCCGAGAGCCGGAGATCGGCGAAGGCGCGTACGTTTTACCAACTAGTTTGATGTATAACCAGTATGCGCGCGTGCCCGACAGGCCTAAACGCGTTGGAATGATACTCAGCTAAATAGCGAATGTCCACACCTCTGCGCACGTGTCAGAGATTAATGACGCTACTCGCGGAGAGAGGTGAGGATGCTTCGCCATAAGAACAGTAACCGCGGCGGAGGTAGCAGCGCGCCAGTCTGGTGTAAATAATGAGTCAGCGATACTAATGCGCAGTGCGGCTTAATTGCTTCTAAATATTGATGCAGCCGCTACATAGTTAGCAGGGTGCGTAAAATAGGCGTGTTTCAATGACACCCTCTAATTACGATTGGATCATTTTTGCACGCGCCCTTCTTCAGGCGATTTCTCTCATCTCTGCGCCTCTTTCTCCTCTTCCTCAGGATTTGCATAAACGAGCGAAACCGATTTGTCTGTTTGTATCCGAAATGTCGAACCGAGCCGAAGCTCATATTAATCTCAGATTCGGTGTCTTGTATTAATAGTCATTACTCGAGACTTGTCCTACGCGAGATACTCTGATATGAATTTAGAATTAGATTTGAGTTTTTTGTGCCTGAATCACACGATATATGCGACGATTACATTTGCAATGGCGATTCGGCTGATAAATTCATATCTAATTCTAAATACAAATTTGTAGTATCTTATTTAAGGTGAATTTCAAAGTAACGACTATTAATACAGCTTTTAATGAGACTGTGTCGCGTGATATCACGTTTTTATGGTGGGCGATATTATGCCATAGAGTGAAATGAAATACGCGGTACATCTGGGTAAATCGCACGAGAGAACCTGTCCGTGTCCATCTCCGATGTTTCGCGCGGTGCTCTCGGGAGACTCTATTTCCTCCTCTACGTAATCTAAGCAATCGCTTATAATTAGGCATTGGACGTTGGAGTGCTAAAACTGTGCATCGGAGGTCGCGTCAGACACTTACGGCGTACCGCCGAGTACGGGAAAAGCGTTTCGCACAGAAAGGAAAAGTGAGAGATAAAACAAAAATGTCACGCAATGACGCGAGTGGATAGAGCAATGACGTTGCAGCCCACTTTCAAAGCTCTGTATTATCGAATCACTATTTGTAGTGAATTACATGCTGGATTTTTCACGTCACAAATACATATTAACGATACCTAAAATATCATGTATTATTCGTACGCTAAATTTTCTTATCACGCATTGCTTAACACGCTACGAATGCGCTGTAATTGTGATCTCTTTAACACATATCGATCATGTGTAGCGTGTGCTGGCAGTTTTCAGCTATAATGATTCGATCAAAAGTGAACCGCGACGCGCAAATACGTATATTAGCTCGAAGTCGGCCAACACAGGCATTCCTCCGATGCTCTCAAGTCCAGGTCGCGAGAACGATTAACGGCTCGTGTCTTGCGGCCAAAATAGCCGTGTAGTAAATATACGGGTACAGTGTAGCGAGTATATTGCGTCTCTCCTCGAAGTAATGCGTTCACGCGATCGTTACTTTGCGACGGAAACAAGTTCGATCGTCCCCTAAAATGGCACCGTCCTGAAATCTGATGATACGAATGATAACGCGAATTCGACACTCGAACGAATACCAGGTTGAAAGGCTCATCATCGACGCTTGTACTCGTTCGCAAAACGGTTTGCATACTTTTGATCGAATGAAATTGCAGCGCTTCAAGTTGTGACACAATTAAAAGAGCCACTGCTGATACGCATATGCACTAATTATTTATGAGTCCTAAGTGATAATATCGAGTGTAACGATTTGGGAAGAAGAGTTTATTTCAAAATTGTAGGACAATATTATTTGAATAATAATATTATTTGTATATATCTTATAAAACATGATAACGCGACGGTGTGTTGAATGGACGTCAACAGTGGTGTGTGCAGTGAATTGTGACAACTCGGAGCGTCGCTTCGATTTATTTTCATTCAATAAAAAGCACGCACATTCATTTTGCAACCGAGCATAGAACGTGCCGTAGTACGCGACGTAACTTGTGCAATTATGCCGCTGTTAATTGTAGAAACAATTATAAATCCGCGGTGCAAAATAATGATCGGTGAAGGACGCATGCGGTTAGGTTCGCAGTAGGGGTAGGTTCGCAAATCGTTTCGTTCACGTATTTATTGTGAAACAAACAGTTCGAGTGGAATCATAAAACATTTCGTTTAGTGTAAAGATACTTATCTCCAATTTTCATTACAATCGCGCAAATATAGGTAAAAGAAAGAAAAAACTGATTTGAGGTCAATTGAGTAAAGTTTTAGACGTCTCGTAATATTCTCCTTGCATTTTCTATCCTGAATGAATGAACTGAAGTTATATAATATTAGTTAAAATGAAGTTTGTTGAAGATATATGATACACTGTTTTATATAATAACAGTGAACTTTATTCTTAAAATTATTAAAATCGCAGAAATGAGCAGATGGGGTAGGTTCGCTAATTTTTCTGTATGGTAGCACTGATGAACTGGTGCGCACTGGTATAACTACGCGCAAAGAATAGATTAGTAAACACATAGCTCACAATGCATAGTGATCATAGGATCATAGGACACTGCAACACGAACGTATGATGATGCATATACATATAAAGTATGTTACATAAAATTATTTTCTTTTGTTTTTAAGTATAAATAAAATTGTAAGCACAAAAGTATCGTATATGGTATTTCATTGTATAATTTATTGATTTAACATTCTTCAAAGTGTATAATTACATGTATTTTATATAATGCTGACTTACCCCGAGCTGGCCGGTATGCCAGCCTACCGGGGCAGGTATGCCTGCTTACTGCGTGTTGATATTTTTATTATTACAGACGAAACTATACAGTTTATAACATCGTCAATAGGATCAAAATGTAGAGGAAGATTGTCTCTATCATTATTATATAGCCAATTGGAACAATTAAATATATCAAACTGTTTTATCATTGAAATTCGAAAAAATTAGCGAACCTGCTTCGGTCTCCCCTATATCGCGTGAACAGGTGATAACACGGTCGCTGCGATACATCGATATAAAAGTGCACGCGTACGTGTGCGTCCATCACTCGCACGCAAATGAGTGACGGGTCGCCTCTTCTCACCGCGTCGCGTTGCACCGCAACGAAGGCATATTTTCAGGCATCTCTAAGCGGATGTTTTTGGCACGGAACGAGCTCTCGCGCGGATACTTAGCGCGGGAACTTACGATCGGTCCAACTTGACACGACTGAGAGAGGCGCGACGCGAAAATACTTCGCACTGATATCGCTGTTTGCCGCGTCAGCCGTCGTCGTTACTCATCATATTACATATGTCGCGGCGTATTTTCGAAAACACTCGCAGTTCTCACCTCGCGTTTATCCTGTCAACGTTTGTGTATTTTATTGCGAATTATCGATCTGAAGTCGTGCTGCATGAAGATCGAAACCTTGCCGCGCGAAATAACGCTATAATTTGCGAGCGTGGTAACGTGCAGAATTCAATTTAGACTCTTCCAGCAAGCGAATTTAGTTTCTGGCACATGTGCGCAGAAAGCTCTATAAACGACAGAATAACGCTTTCAGACACGCCATTGCGTTTTATACTTAGGCTCGATATTATCATAGCGAATCTAAACAATCAACTTGTCTTCGTGTAGAAATATGCGAACTGTATTGGGATTGTACGAGATAAGATTCGATTCGAACTATCCGAAAATCTCGAGTTGCGGTAATTGAAATGCAGATCTCGCATATTGGCACTATCTTGCTCAATCTCCCGCTAACGAGTACAAGTCGCCATATAATGAGTAAGATATTACTAACTCGAGTCAGCAGATCATATTTAGATTTCCCTATTTGTCGAACCTCTTAAAAGAAGTCAATTAACGCAAAATTAAATAATTAGAAATCAGTGGAGTTTTAATATTAATAATCGTGATTGGGGATAGAGTTAGAAGATTGATTCATAGCGTGTGTTGCAAGTTGCTGCTTGTGTGGCGGTAAGCCATGTTACTAATTATGTTAATTGAAAGTTAAGTTTCGACGATTTGATCCAATTCAACATTGGAAGCTCTTAATTTGCATATCTCTATCTTCATGCTATGCATGAACCAACATGTACTTTCATATATCGTTGCTGTTAATGTTTCTTTCCCAATCGCCAATCCGCTCTAAAGCGCAACACGGTTTCGATATCAGAGTTATTACAGATTTCAAAAAAGAGTGAGAGAGAGAGAGAGGAAGCGTTGGGCTGTTGGAGAGCTCGAAAACGATCGGAGCGTGCTGAGAAAAATCGGGTGTATTAACGGCAGGAGTAGCGTGTCTGTTGTGTCCGATGATATTACAAGTTTTAATGAGATTCGCATTCGCGTCACTGGCGCCGGCGTATCAGCCTCGCGTTAGACGGATGAGGTCGTTCTCGTGTCTTGTATTAAAAACGACGTCGCGTTAGGTAGTATCGTTGCTGGTTACGAATCGCCGGCATTCCCAGCGACTCGTTCTATATCCGCACGCCGGGTTCCCGGTCATTTACGACGTGCCCAAGTCGCTCGGGAGAGACGACTGACCTTGCGAAGGTACACTGATGATCGTGCGCCGCATATCGCGTCCATGCATCGCACGCACAGACGCGCAACCGCGAGGATTACGGAGCGGGGAAACCACTTTTACATTCTATAATTTAGATAAGCGTGCGCTTGTTAAATTTAAGTGTCATACACCGAAAGATCAAGTCGAAGAGATCTCATATGTTTTTGCAATACGACCAAGACATTCTTTTATCGTCGTTACTCAACGCGAGAGCGGTTGTAATTGCGTTGCGCATCCGTGGGCGAGGACTCAAATCTCGATAATACCACGTGGACAGGATATATCATAGTTTTTACATAAATTCTTTTCAATTTCACTATGTTTCTAGTGATGCACAGGAGTAGACTGTCTATCTTGCTACATTTCGCTAAAGATGTAGCAAGTGTTTTAATAGCACGTTTCAGTTCCTAAAATATAAGTAGCACATGTGAAACGAAAGGATAAGTGAATTATTGCAAAATGTAGGTTTCTCGGTTACAAAATTCTATTAATAATTTTTATTATAAAATTCTCGCTGTGGAGTTAGGTGTATACACTTGTAGGTTGCTGATTATAACAGACGCGTTCGTCTCATAATGTTCTTTTTGAGCGACAAATCAGAAGTCCAAAGACCCTTGAACGAAAAGAGAAAGAAAGAGAGGATGAGAGGGACTGGGAAGATTAATGGCCTCAGGAACTGTCTCATCGAGCGAGCAGAAGGCGACTTACGTAGCGGACGCGTCAACACGCTCGAAAATGACGGCGCTGCGAGCTCGCGAATAATAATTCCGCACGATCGGAAGTTTGATCATGCTATTAATTGTCAGACTCGGGCGGATCGGGTCTCGGCTCGTTTTAAAAATGACGAATCACCGACTGGACAGCGAAGAAAAGGAGAGAAAGAGCGAAGGTAAGAGGGAGTACATTAACTCTCAAAACGTTCACGGCTGCCACGCAAATTCGAACGCAGCGCTACGCTCAGAAGTGCATTATCTTGTTCGACCGTCTGATGAAAAGTTAGAAAGGCGCACCTCGTAGACACCAGGTAGGTGTGAGAGATTAATGGTGTGACGCGGCCTCGTCCGATCCGGTGAACGTGCGTGCGCCGGTTCGTTTAAGATTGACACTACCAGTTTTCCATTAAACGTCTTGACACCGGGTAATTTCTGAATATGAAATCCATGTCAGCCTTCGAGAGAACGCTATTATAAAGGCGCAGGATAAAGGTGGAGAATGTAAAGTATAAAAAGATCGAAACCTAGTCCGCGTCTCACCGCCAGCCTTGAATCGCGTACAGTCTGGAAATTATATTTACGTGCGTTATCTCTAAGATGAGGTAGAAATTGTCATCGATGTTGTGTCGACAATTAAAAAGGAGGGCAATTAGATACTTAAATTATTAATTGCGAGAGTTACTTCATATATAGTCGATTGCAAGTCGGTTTGCGCACACTTTCGATCAAATGAAGTCGCAACGCCTTTCAAGTGTTGCAATTTCATTCGATAAAACATGCAAACTGACTTGTAACCAATTATACATCTTATGTCTCGATGATAATCTGATGGTCCCTATTATTTTGTAAATTTCGGAAAGCAGCGAACTCCGATGACTGGTGCGTGAAAAATTGACTACTATGGGCAAAAAAGATAGGAAAGAACTCCCGAATCGAAATTTTAGCCTTCTTTTTGATCTGAACTTTCCGACATCTATATATTCGGACTGAGGGATTATCATCGTGACATAAGATGTATAATTGGTTACAAGTCGGTTTGCACGTTTTATCGAGTGAAATTGCAACACTTGAAATTGTCAAAATTGGAAGCTACTGCCATGTGTGTGCGCACAGTAATCAATTGTAAATATATAAAAATTACTTCTCAAAATAATGTGTGTGTTCTTCGATTTAACATAAATTCTTCTTTCCATATTTCACGAATGTCATACTCTGTATTGTCACTTTGGCTTCTGTCATAACCGACTAGTAGTTTTTAATCCCGACAACTTGAGGCGTTGCGACTTCATTTGATCGAAAGTGTGCGCAAACCGACTTGCAATCGACTATATATGAAGTAACTCTCGCAATTAATAATTTAAGTATCTAATTGCCCTCCTTTTTCATTATGTGTTTTTAATGTTTAATATATATAGAAATTGAAATCCTACTTGACATTTCTAAATAGCGGAAACCGCCGAAAATGTCACTTGTAGATCCTAAAGAGGATCTCTCAGCAAGGTTATTAGGTTAAATGGAATCAAAAGAAAGTTTATGTATGTTTGTAGTTATGGATGTAGGTTGATAACAAACTGAAGAGTTTCAAAATAATGAAATATTGAGGTCGCAAGCGGCATCAAAATTTCGACTCGGGCGGCTTGTCGCGTCTGTCTCACCGTTGCAATGTGCGAGAGAAACGCACGACCTTGCACAAGTACGGTGATCCTCATGCCCCTCATGCCGATGAAATGTGTGATACGCGTTTGCACGAATGCACACACGCGACGCGCACGTGTGCCGGAATTGTTATTGCGCGAGGCGTTCATAAAGCATAGGAAAACCGCGTTTTTAGACAGGCACATGGTTACTGACTTACAGACTTGATATATTGGTGATAATAGAGTCTCCCGCACCCCGTGTTCGCTCCCGTCGAGATTGGCGGTCGTTCGATAGCCTGATCGCGGCGAGGTTTCGTTCCCGAGCGATCGCACGTCCTTTTGTGTGCGCGCAAGAGCGAAAAAGCGGGCAGCGGCAGAAAGCGCCGCGTCACGCGGAATAATACACTCGCCGAGCAATGCCGGCCAATTAACTTAGGTAATTAGACTCCGGCGATTCGCCATCGTCCTTTTGCGGACCCTGATTTTTCGCAGGCCGAGTCTGTGCATCGCGCTTCACGGCACCGCTAAATTGAAAGGATCACCGATACAGCGTGACTGTCAACGTGAGATCGCACGCCGCGGAAAGTCGGCCGGTATTTCCGAGAAATCGGATTTTTCACGCGTATTCGCGCGAAGCGGTGCTTTTTGCGCCGTAACAAGTAACTGATGATTTACCGTGTAAGAATCACTAGGAAAATTCCATTTTTCCTGGACTCCTTCTTTCCGTCACGCGAGATTTCTGCGCGCGGTATCTCAAACAATCTCACGCAGCGAGGAATCACCCCGACGCATCAAGCTTAAATCGCGACGATTTTTTAGTTGTGAACGAACGGGAGTAGAGCGTTTCAATTCGTTTTTATCTCGGCGATGCGTTTAATCGGCCGAAAGTGCATCGCGCGCGATTAATGTCTGCCGGTACTTTAATTGGCATTTATAATAATATCTTCCCGGAATGCACAGTCATGTTCAATATGAGGCTGCCCCGCCGAGTTCTCGAGCAATGGGTGTTGC